AGTGTATTGCCAAAGCTATGTATATATTGGACATGTCCAGTAACTCATGGTATTTGCATCTACAAGTCCTCTCTCCCTCTAAGGCTCTTGCAGACTGTCACTTCCACCTTTCACAGTATTTCAATCTACCACTGTCTCTTCATACAGTTTTCCAACATCCCCATGCAAATATGATGTTCCAGGCTCCACTAAGGATCCATAATAGGCAACATATTATAGATATTTTGATCCCTCCTGGTCAATGATGCTATTACATGTCTCTGGAGTAGATACAACTTGAACCCTGATCACTATAACAGCACCACAAAAGCCCTCAAATTGCACATATTTTAATCCAACTCCATTAAAGGGTTCCCTGTGCTGCTAAACTTCAAACTTAGTGTACACCGTTAACCCATAATCCTGCAAACAAATAACTCGTGAATTCTGAGGTAGAGAGCATATTTCCAGGGCACTGTGTAGTGCAAATTGCCCCATTATTTAATTGCCATTACACTAGTGGAAAAAGTGCTCCATTTTGCCGGCTGACCCACCACCTGCAATTTTAAAACTGGAACCACTACTCTACATAATCTCACTCAACTAATTTATACATTAGAATGGATTAACAGTCAATAATTTGCTCACACCAGAAGATTATCCATTTTGCATCCACCTTCTTTTGCAAATCTTTTAAATAATTAATTAGGACTGCAAATTCTTATGCCTTGCCCTCCAAATAGAAGGAAAAACATTCAGCATAGGGAGGCGATGGCCTTGGTATTATTGCTGGACTATTAATCCAGAGACCCAGACAATGTCTTGGGGACCTGGGTTCAAATCCCGCCAGGGCAGATGGTGGAATTTGAATTCAATGAATATCTGACCATGAATCCATTGTCGATTGTTGGAAAAACCCATCTGGTTCGCTAATGCCCTTTAGGGAAGGAAACTGCCATCCTTACCTGGTCTGGTCTACACGTGACTCCAGACCCACAGCAATGTGTTTGACTCTTAACTGCCCTCTGGGCAATTAGGGATGGGGAATAAATGCTGCCTGGCCAGCGATGCCCTCATCCCGTAAATGAATAAAGAAAAAAAATCCTGATGTCCTCCATCATCATAAAAACTACAAATATTAAATCTGTGATTTAACAAGTGTGCAAGGATAAGTCCAACATTTACAAGCTAGTCAAGTTAACTTTGGCTGTGAGAAATAGTTGAGGACAAAACTGGCAATTAACTGGATTGATTCGGGAAAGCCAGCATGGATTTGTTAAAGAGCAGTTTTTTGTTGATGTAATAGATGAAGAGGATATTGTGGTTGACATGGTGTATATGGACTGCCAAATGGCATTTGTTAAATGTGCCACGTAACAGGCTTGGCAGCAAAGTTGAAGCTAATGGGATGTGACAGCATGGATTCAAAGTTGGCTGAGTGACAAGAAACAGAATGGCAGTGAATAGTTGCAGCTGCACTGAAGGGAACTGTACAATCGGGTGGTCCAGGAGCCACTGTTAAGGGCACTCTTTTTCTTAATAACGATAATTAATAACTTAGACTGGGATGTATACTTAGACTTTGACATATGTTTGGATTCTTACATGGTAAGACCAAGGACAGCACACATTCAGAACACCAACATCTGCATTTTCCCTTCCAAACCACACACATTCCGACCTGAAATATATTGCCATTCCTTCACTGTTACTTGGTCATAATCCTAGAACTCCTTTTTAACAGCACTGCATATAACGAGATGGATTGTGACTGTTCAATAGGACAGCTCACTGATTACATTTTCAAGGCTCATTAGGGATGGGAAGTAAATTTGCCTCATCAGTGATGCTTCTTTTCCCTGATTGAATACTGATGAAAACATTGACGGGACTGCTTTTTTTTTTGAATAAAAGACTTCATGTTAATGAATTAGTGAAATTGGAATTGCTCTCCTTAGAGAAAGTAGGGACAAGATTTGATGGAGGCATTCAAAATCATATGATTATTAGACAAAATAGATACAGGATACCAATGTGAGACAGTTGACAAAAGTACCAATGACATTAGGAAGAACTTACATAAATAGTGAGTGCTTAAGATCAGAAATGCACTGCCTCAAAGTGCAGCCGGCAGACTTAATGGCTTCCAAAGGGGATTGGACAAACACCTGGAGAGAAAAATATTTCAGGGATATGCGGAAAAGGCAGGGGAAATGGGACAAGGGGAGCTGCCATATAGTGATCTGGCATCGACATGATGGTCCAAACAGCCACGTTCTGTACTATAACAACTCTGACTTACTAAACATTTCTTCTACAACTCCTTTATTCTCCTCTAACCAGCCTTTTCATTCTGAGCATGAACATCTCCATTTACTTCAATTTGCATCACACACCACCAGGTGTCTTGGTTAGATGGTGATCTGGAAATTGAATGAGTTTGCTAGTCATCCTGTTTATGCGCCATTTTTAGTAATGCTGTAGAGTTGGATTTATTCACATGTGACATTGAAAAACTGTCTGTGAATTCACTTTAAATGGATAATTTATTGTTGAACTGAACATCATCTGGAAGTACAGACATTAGCTTAGATCTGCCAGTCGCCCAATTGTCAGAGGGCAGGCACCTAACTCAAGATGCGTGCCATGGTCCTTAAGAAGTCCCAAAGTGCTAACTTCCACAAGGGTTGTCTAGGAAATTTGAACTCCAATTGGTGATTCCTCTTCTTCCTGGGATCCTCAAAAAAAAATCTCCAACTCGGTCTTCGAGTCAGAGGCTTCGGACAGTTTTGAAATACTTCTCTGGATAGTTACCCTGGAAATGTTAGGCTTGGATTTTTTGGTCTAACTTCTATGTGGCTGTATAATTGACACCTTCCCACCCCTTGCACCCCCATTACTCACATTGACTCCCTTGAACCTGTCCCCATATCTGCACTCAACTACCCTTTCTTACCTGACAAGCATTTGACTAGCTCCCCCAGTCCAACCTGATAAGCTTCCATCACCAGACTACCCCCAATCTATCTCATGTATCCCTCCAACACCCAAATATTCCCCAATCCAACCTGATAACCCATTCTGACTGATTTACATCCACACATTTACAATGGACGTCGAATCTCATTTTAGAGCAGCTAGTCTCTCTAAAAAGCAAAAGGCACGTATTTTGTGCTGATTTTCTTCACTGCCCTGCATAGATTTCTGTGCTGAACAAGTTCTTCCGTTTGCTGTTTTGGAAGTCTAGCCTTTTAAACATATAAAAACATTGGTTAACCAGGATATAATCAGCAGTGTACACTGTAGTAATGAGATTTTTCTCCAATTCCTTATCGAATTGATTGACTAGCTTGTATTTATGACTTTTTAGTCTGGATGTCTTTACAAGTGGAAATATTCTATACTTGTATCCCATCATACCCAATTATGCTGATGTCAATAAGGGTTGAAAGCATTCCCATTACTTTAGTATATCACTGAGCTCACAAGGAACATAAATGCCAATTGCCACCATCATAAAATTTTGCACAAATTTATTTCCAAAATGAAATGCCAGCATCAAGTTCAAGGGTATCTGCCAGTCTCTGGGTCCAAATAGCTTCAATTACATAATTTAGATGTCATTTATATCCCTTGGATAAAATTACATCCTTGTAATTCACCCCCCTGTCCATTACCCTCTAAGTACACATCCTTATCAGCTGTTCTTACCCCAACTGATTACATTATGTAACGATTTTAAATTATTGAATTTAGGTAAGACAATCCTGTTTGTTCTGTAATTTCAACTTATTTGCACACAATAGCAACTTTATTACAACTGATTATGCGATGTTAAAACATACGTTTTTATGTATACTAAATTACAATATTTAAACAATCTGTTCTTCAAAACACTTTCCATCATGCTCATTTTCAGGTTCTGTCCAAACGTCTTTCCGGAAATCATTTGAACAACTAAATCTTTCACTTCATGTCTTCTGACTCAAAGGACGGCGAACGGCAGTCCATCTGTCGTTTGTAAGATTTAACCTTTGTAGTTTGGAGTCAAGAACCATCCTTCTACACAAATAGATACGCACCGCGGAATCTAAAAGTGGATTACTACATCGGATGAATTATACATGTTATGAATTTTCTGACCAACTGTACCACAGCTTCAAAGGGGAATGCACAGCACTTTTATTTATTAAACAATGGCCTAGGTTCCGCTGCTTGAGTTCTATAAAACGCTCTCGTAACACAAACCATCCGAATGTATAAAAGAACAATCAGCTGAGGATCGCTCCCTTTGATAAATAGATCCGTTTTTACTTAGTGTTGGAAACCGTTCCAGGGAGGGTTTTCAAAGTTGCAGGTTTCGAATTGGAGTGCATGCAATCACAATCAATGGTTATCTACTAGAAACTTGGCGTTCAGGATCACTTAAAATGCACACTACATGGTGAACAATTAGATATAAAACATGCCAACAAAATACAATTTGATTAGCTTGGACTACGCCGGGCGCTGTATGAATCTAACAGCAAGATACATTTTATAGGCCTAAATACAATCTCAACCTGCAGTATGGACCAACCCATTCAATTAACTATCATCCGGATCGCAACAGATAGGTATGAATGTAATTTACGGAAGCGTCGTAATTCAAAATGAGTCGCCTTTATACAGGAGATAGGGATTTCAAATTAATAATATTTTGACATGGCTAACGGAAATAAAAATGTCTTTATGAACATCTTGCTAAATATTCCAAATCTTAATTTATCCAAATAGGTAAGGAACATGAGGGGGAAAGTTGTGAATCAAATATGATCCCTGTTCAAATTCTATAATCTACACACTTTAATTCTTGACGTACACTAAGCAGTTAATTCAAAGTCCAAAAGGAACTAACCAGATTTGTGGACTCGCGGTTACATTTTGCCTTACCCTTGCAAACAACCAGATAGTGGGACGCCGGAGCCACGAGCGGGATTATAACAGCACAAATGCGTTTAAAAAAAACCAAGACAAAATACCTGATTATATCATCGTTGTGACCCAGAAAGAATTTTTGCTTATGTTCCCGCGTGTTGTAAACCACTCCAACACCCGCAACAAAATAAACGATTTCTTTGGAAGCGGTATAGTAGAGATTGTTCCGACACTGATGCCCACGATAGCCATAAACCCACTCCAGGCGCAGGTGGCAGTTCGGTGCCGCTCCATCAGCCATGTCGCCTCGTCCTACTGTCACTGTAACTGTCACAGCGCGACGCCGGCCTCAGCTGAATATCTCCTCTTCCCAACCTTGTCTTCCCTTGCCTGCACAGCACCCGACTGAAGATGCGCGAACATTCAACAGTTGTCATACATTTTATTTTTTTCTCTCCGGCGCTCTCCCACGCACACTGTACAAACACGGACGTCAGTAACGCATGACGTCAAACCTTTTTTTTAAATATGATATTTTTTAAACAAGATAAAGAGCCTCGCAAAACCTCCGCGCATTGACAGGTTGCCTTCGCTCCAGCTTCGCTCTTCGCCTTTTGCCAGCTGTTGTATCCAGCGCTTTAACACCTCCGCCCGCCGTGCGCATGTTCGTCCCCACCCACATCAAACCAGCCAACCACTTGTCGGCATACTGCTGATGGACAGCAACGATAGCCAATGACAGGTATAATCCTCAAGTCGATCAGATTCAGCTCCCACCCCCTCCCAGGCTCTTTCCCCCCGGCGCTCCCGCCTGCTTGTCACTGGCGGAGGAAATCAGCGGGAGGTGGTAGGAAATAAAGGCTGAGTTGATCAGCGGAACAATTCTGGAGCCGTCAATCAAACCTGTTTCAAGGGGCTGGAAATCTTGAAAGGGAGTGAGAAAGGACTGAGGCGGGCATGTGTGGGAAAATAGATTACAACCTTGCCAAGCCATAAGCAATAATCGGCTGCGATACTGTCACTGTCCTCGTCTTGATGAAGGGTCCCACAGTCCTTGAAACATTAATACCAGAATATAGTACAGACGGATGTTGCAAATTTGAAATAAAAGCAGAATATGCTGGAAGCTATTATCTATACCTCCCCAGACACCGCCTGACCTGCCGAATATTTCCAGCATTTTCTATCTCTGTAGTTGAAACCCTTTTTTAAAGCTTTGCTTCCTGATCTGCTAGGCGTTTCAGCTTCTTCTGTTTCCTTTTTTCAGGTTTCGGATATTCACAATTCTTTTGCACTTTTTTCTCGCCAGTTTAAAACATCAGTGTTTTGGCTTGTTTTGGTTTTTTTTTAAAGATCTGGCTGGCATTCACTTCTTTAAATGCTGAATAAATCATTACATCAATGTTACAGTTCCATTTCTAAAATAATGAGAAAACAAATTGATGTGGCATGATTGACAAAATTAATAAAAGTATATTCTGCTAAACAATGCTAAATGAGTTATTTAAGTAGCCAGTGCGATTTATGAAAAAAACATTATGATATGCTTTACAAATGTATCAATTGCAAGGCACTGTTCATGTAAATAAAGGAATGTACTTTCCCCCTACATTTATATTTATTTAGACACATAGACAGCCGCTTTTGGTTTATGAATGGTCATTGATGCTGACAACTGGAACAAGCTGATTGACAAGTCATAGGGAAGCTCAAGGTCGTAAACACTACCGTGCTTCTAGCTTGCCGGTTTAAAAAACACAACAAATATGATTATAAACCAAAAAGAAAACGACACACGGCTTATCACGTTGACTGTATTTTGCGGTAAATATTCTTCCTTATGAAATTTCCCCTTATCCCAGCGCAAGTTATGTAAAATTGCAGCTGCTGCTCTGTTGGGCAGTGACAGGGCCACCGTGCGGTTTGCTAGGACCCCGGAATGCCGTTGCTGGGGGTGACGGAGGTAGGCCCCGATTTAATCCTCGGGATCGGAATAGGATGGGGCTGGATATGGATCCAATGTTCCTGGCCTGGAGTTATTTCAGAAGGCGCAAGTTCCAGTTCTGTGCTGACATCTGTACGAAGCTGCTGGAGAGCAACCCGTATGACCAGGTAGTGCAGAAGTCGCAATCCCATTAAAACCACTGAGAATTTGTCTGCAAATCCACCCCCGGCCCATGAAATGTTTTACCTTTTTGTATGCCTTTCACCGAAAAAAAGAGGGTAATATTTGTGCAGGATTGCCTAATGTTGATAGGTGCGAGCGGATGGTGTATTGTGCGTGGTTGAGTTATACCGTGAAGATCGAAGTGAAATGCGACCTCCAAATCAGCAGAAGTGCAATAAATTTGTAATATCTAAGGAGCATCTCGAGACTTCCTTGTCAGATTAAAAGACGAATTCCTTCGTCTTGCACTCACTGTCAAAGTTCTACGCACGAAGAGACTCATTCCCTTAGAATGACCCCGCTTCCATTGTTTTACAAATTTAGACTTAAAAGAGAGTTGCTAGGACGCAACCCTTTTGAGGTTCAGTCGAATTAAGGCATCAGTAATGATTGTTGCAACAAGATATTCTCAATGTAGCAACTCCCTTTTCAGCTGCTCTTCAAGTTTTTGTTGATTTTAAATAACATTATTCTGTATATATAATTGTTTGGTTTAAAGTAATTTTATGAAAGAAACTATGGTACTGTGTATTTGTAAATGTACATTTTAATGAAAAAAAAAGATTTCCTGCAATGCTTTCATTCAATTTCACATCTTTTACATATTCTTGATGTTTTTTGGTGTGTTATTTCAATTCAAAACTGCCTTTAATTTGTCGTGAATCAATTCCTTTTACAGCTCTGAATATTGAGAAATTAAAAGAATATTTGTCAAAATAGTGGAATCACTTCATTTTACACAGTCATGGGCTTAAATCAAAATGTGGAATTTAAAGGCACGTTGCTGGGGTTAAACATTGTCAAACTACTGCTCATTATTTGAAAATACAAAATTTTGACAACCTGAACATTACAACAGCACAATGTAATTGTAATATTTCCAAATCAGTGTTATCTTTTGGTTGTCTTTTATGAAAGTCCAAAGTGTAATCAATTATTGAATTAAAGCAATAATTATGGACTGGTTGTTTCCTGTATAATTGCTCAAAGGCAAACTTCAGTGAGTGTCGTCAGGTAGACCTTACCTAACCAACCAGTGGTCAATAGAAGTAAATTACAAGGCAGCAGTTGCAACCAATAGTTAATTGCTGTGAGATAACAAGGTGTAGAGCTGGAACAAACACAGCAGGCCAAGCAGCATCATAGGAGCAGGAAGGCTGATGTTTCTTCAGAAATGGGGGAGGGGAAGGGGGTTCTGAAATAAATAGGGAGAGAGGGGGAGGCAGATAGAAGATAAGTGGAGAGGAGACAGACAGGTCAAAGAGGTGGGGATGGAGCCAGTAAAGGTGAGTGTAGGTAGGGAGGAGATAGGTCAGTCCAGGGAGGATGGACAGGTCAAGGAGGTGGGATGAGGTTAGTAGGTAGGAGATGGGGATGGGGATGGGGCTTGAGGTGGGAAGAGGGGATAGGTGGGAGGAAGGACAGATTAGGGAGGCGGGGACGAGCTGGGCTGGTTTTGGGATGCGGTAGGGGGAGGGGAGATTTTGAGGCTTGTGAAATCCACATTGATACCGTTGGGCTGCAGGGTTCCCAAGCGGAATATGAGTTGCTGTTCCTGCAACCTTCGGGTGGCATCGTTGTGGCAGGAGGCCCAGGATGGACATGTCGTCTGAGGAATGGGAGGGGGAGTAGAAATGGTTCGCGACTGGGAAGTGCAGTTGTTTAGTGCAAACCGAGCGTGGGTGTTCTGCAAAGCGGTCACCAAGCCTCCGCTGGGTTTCCCCGATGTAGAGGAGGCCACAACGGGAACAGCGGATGCAGTATACCACATTAGCAGATGTGCAGGTGAACATCTGCTTGATGTGGAAAGTCTTCTTGGGGCCTGGGATGGGGTTGAGGGGGGAGGTGTAGGGGCAGGTGTAGCACTTCCTGTGGGTGCAGGGAAAAGTGCTGGGTGTGGTGGGGCTGGAGGTGAGTGTGGGACGGACAAGGGAGTCACGGAGAAAGTGGTCCCTCCGGAAAGCAGATAAGGGTGGGGAGGGAAAAATATCTTTGGTGGTGGGGTTGGATTGCAGATGACGGAAGTGTCGAAGGATGATGCGTTGGATCCGGAGGTTGGTGAGGTGGTACGTGAGGACGAGGGGGATTCTTTTTTGATTGTTATTGCGGGAAGGGTGTGTGAGGGATGAGTTGCGGGAAATGCGGGAGACACGGTTGAGGGCGTTCTGGACCACTGAGAGGGTATGTTGCGGTCCTTGAAAAACGAGGACATCTGAGATGTACGGAAGTGGAATGCATCATCCTGGAAGCAGATGCGGCGGAGGCGAAGGAATTGGAAATAGGGGATGGCATTTTTGCAGGAAGGTGGGTGGGAGGAAATTCTAGGTAGCTGTGGGAGTCGGTGGGCTTGAAATGGATATCGGTTTCTAGGTGGTTGCCAGAGATGGAGACAGAGAGGTCCAGGAAGGAGAGTGAGGTATTAGAGATGGTCCAGGTGAACTTAAGGTTGGGGTGGAAGGTGTTGGTGAAGTGGATGAACTGGTCGAGCTCCTCGTGGGAGCACGAGGCGGTGCCGATACAGTCATCAATGTAACGGAGGAAGAGGTGGGGTTTGGGGCCAGTGTAGGTACGGAAGAGGGATTGTTCCACGTAACCTACAAAGAGGCAGGCATAGCTTGGGCTTATGCGGGTACCCATGGCCACCCCCTTTGTCTGTAGGAAGTGGGAGGAATTGAAAGAGAAGTTGTTGAGGGTGAGGACGAGTTCGGCTAAGTGGATAAGGGTGTCAGTGGAGGGGGACTGGTCGGGCCTGCGGGACAGGAAGAAGCGGAGGGCCTTTAGGCTATCTGTATGGGGAATGCAGGTGTATAGGGATTGGACGTCCATGGTAAAGATGAGGTGTTGGGGACCGGGGAATTGGAAGTTCTGGAGGAGGTGGAGGGCGTGGGTGGTGTCACAGACGTAGGTAGGGAGTTCCTGGACCAAGGGGGAGAAAATGAAGTCGAGATAGGGGGAGATAAGTTCGGTGGGGCAGGAGCAGGCGGAGAGAATGGGTTGACCAGGGCAGTCAGGTTTGTGGATTTTGGGAAGGAGATAGAAGCGGGCGGTGCGGGGTTGGGGAACGATGAGGTTGGAGGCTGTGGGTGGGAGGTCACCTGAGCTGATGAGGTTGTGGATGGTTTTGGAGAGGATGGTTTGGTGCTCGGGGGTGGGGTCATGATCAAGGGGACAGTAGGAGGAGGTGTCGGAGAGTTGGCAGCTGGCCTCGGTGATATAGAGTTCAGTGCGCCATACTACAACTGCACCACCCTTGTCCGCTGTGAAACAGGAGAAGCACTCAGTTGGAAGTTATAAATTCCATATTGATCCCTTAACTTAAGTTGCATTTAATTCTATGGCTTGTGTTTTTACTTTAAATTTAGGCTAACTTTTCTGTGAAGATTTTGATGTGCTGATACCAAAAATGCTAGGTTTATTTCCCTTAAGTCACTTTATTCGTGAAAAATTGCTATGTCCCTGATATGCTGGTTTTCTACCTTTCTCTTGTGCTTTTTCTCTCAACCTAGCTTTCAGAAATAACCCAGACTCTAAGAAAGGCAGTACAGGTTATATACACCTGGACAACAGGGTTAAGTCATAAATAGGGTTAAGTCATAAATATGAAAGGATCAAAATCACAAATTAGAGGAGAATTGAAACAAGTGGATTGGTAGATGATGTTCAGCATGATTTCAGCAGAAGACAAACTCAGTACCACTGATACGAGGTAAGTAGAATAAATGCCTTCTATGACGATACAGTTAAAATGGGTTAACAAACAGAGTAAAGTTGAAATAAACAGGAAAATAGTACTTCCTAAAATCTTGTACATTAAGACTATAAGACGTGGGAGTAGAAGTAGACGATTCAGCCTGTTATATCTGCTCCACCATTCACTAGAATCATGGCTGATCTAATAATCCATAACACCACTTTTCTGCTATGTCCCTCTAACCTTTGATTACCCTACTCATTAAAAATCTGTCTATCTCAGCCTTGAATGTAATGAATGAATTAGCCTCAAGTCTTTTGAAGTAAAAAATTCGTAGATTCATTACCCTCTGAGAGAAGCAATTCCTCTTCATCTCTGTCATAAATATGCACCCCAGGCATTATGCCCTCTTCTGGAGAAACAACCTTACCGCATCTACCTTGTCAAGCCCTCCAAGAATTTTGTATAATGGGGTTGCCTGTCGTTTTTCTAATTTCCAATGAGTACAGGCCTAACCTATTCAACATCTCCTCAAAAGACATCCACTTTCCACCTGTTATCAGCCTAGTGATCCTTCTCTTGTCTGCAATCATTGCCAATATATTTTTCCTTAGATAGGAAGACCAAAACTGTTCACTATATTCTAGCTCAGGTCTGACTAGTGCCTGTGTGATTTTAGCAAAACCTCCCTTCTATACTCCATTCCCTTTGGAAATAAAGGCTAACATTTAATTTCCTTATTACCGGCTGAACTTGGATGCTAGCTTTTTGCAATTCACACAATAGGACCCCCAGTTTCCTCCCATAGTCCAAACATGTGCAAATTATGTGGATTGGCCATAGTTAATGTGAGGTTATGGAGTAGGGTAAGGGAGTGGGATTGGGTGGGATATTCTTGATGTGCAGACTGATGGGCTGAATGGCTTCTATTTGCACTGTAGGAATTCTATTCTTCCTTCCAAAGTGCATAACCTCACACTTTCACACATTCTATTCCATCTACAAAGTTTTTCCCACTTGCTTAACCAGTCTGTATCCCTCTGCAGACTGTGGCAACCTCACTATTTGCCTTCCCATCTATTTTTGTTCATACACAAAGTTGGCTATAGTGCATTCACTTTCTTCATCCAAGTCATTAATATATATTGTCAATAATTGTGCCCTGGCACAGCTCCCTACTGAGCTCTACTAGTTATAAGTTACCTTCCTGAAAATGCCACCCCCCACTTTATCCCAAATCTCTGTCTTGTATTA